AAGAAGTGGCCCTCCCGAATTCGGGGAAAGGGGCCCACACATAGTAGCCTTTTTCAGGCATGCGCATGCTCCTGTCTACGTACCCCCCCGTGCTGCTAGCAGATCTACCATGCTCGTATCCAGACACACGAACACCGCTATCTCACGGTCATCATCTCCCTCTGCTGTGGTACCGGCCAGCTGCTGCTTACTCCTTCGGAATCATGTCAGGTTTGGAGCCTCTCCTTGTTGTCCCGCTTGCTGTTGGCGTTCTGAGATTGACCGGGAGCCTCGTCAAGGCTGCGTTTAGGAAGCTGCGGCGCGCTGAGGACGAGAGCGAGGTCGTCCTACAGGCTCGGGACAATTTAACCCTGGAGAAGCAACCAAGAGGTGCGTGCTCCTCTTCGTCAGAGTGCACCATCTGTTTAGCCGTTGTTATTGGATCTAGATTCGTACGTACGTATGTGGAGCATACAAGAGTATTGTTCTTAAGGGTTCGGGGAGATGCAACGCCCCACGGAAAGATAAAACAGGGAACAGGATCTAGTAGTCCCTGCTTGAGCAGCTGATCCTGGCCCCATCTTAGACAGTCCTCTACCTTCCCTTGGCAACAGCTACTGCAGCCGTTCCACACGAGATAATAACAAGTGAGTTTGTCTTCACGGGTCTCCCAGATTGCACCGCGCGTGCATATCCCTTTCACTTGGCGTCGTCGGCAGGACTGCTGGGATGGGGGAGCCCCTGGACCAGACGCTTTCCAGCTACTGTTGCGCCACCTGGCGGAGCAATTTGACGTCGGAGATCGCCAACAGTCGTTTTTGTTGCTGCAACAATTTGGTGTAGCAGATGGTACTTCTTTCGCGGATTATCTTCGGGCTTTCCGACTGTTAGTTTCGTCTGTGACTGGCTCTGAGCGTACTATGACCCCTAGTGTATCCATGGTTCTCGAAATAATGCGAAACTCGGTCGATAAGAAATTTCCGAGTCTGTCTCCGCTTTTGTACCCGGGTGCTTTGGCCGCTCCGGTCACTCCCTTTGAGTCAATTGCAGTTATGTGGGAGGCGTTCGCGCCTTTGGCGACCAATAAAACCCCAGCTGTCGGTGGTTCATCTTATTTGTCATTGACTTCGACGAGTGACTCTTCGCAGCCTCGGCGGTCTAACCACCGTGCCCCTGCGTCTTCGGGCCAGTGGGCATCCGGCTCCCCATAGAACCCTGTAGATTTGCCCGTGCAAGCTCAAGTCGCGGATCCTTTCACGCACAACTACAACTCGTGGCCTACTTCGCAGGCCGACTGGTCTGATGTATACGCCCTCACCGCTAGTTTTGTAACACCGATGATCCTTTTTTATGGACTCCTTTGTAGGCACAAGAGGCTCGATCGCAAGCCTTCCGTGAAAACAGAAACCGCTCTCTGAACTGCTCGGGTGATGACCATTCCATGAAGCAATGTGCTTCTCCCTTCACGAATTCTAGTGGGTTGTTGAATCCCGAGGTGGGTCACCTCAATGACGACTCTGCTGCCTTTAGGAGTTGGCAAGGCCGCATGCGATCCTTCAGGCGTAAGGGTTCAGATGGCCTCAATAACAATCAGGGTAGACGCCACCGGCAGTCTTCTTCCTCCTCCTCTCAGCGTAGAAACCACGCTGGGCCTCGCCGTTCCGACGGTGGTGGTTCCTCTCACAATCACCACCAACAATCACACCACGGTGGTCAAACCGCGGGAGATTCCGCGGGTAACCATCATCATACACAACAGACGTCTGGCAACACCCACCACACTGGTGCTTTGTCCGTCTATCAACCCCAATCGCATGCTCAAACTGGTCCCTCGTCTGGCGTCATGGTTTCGACCAATCACAACGCACGCCAACCTGGTAACTTCCACAATGGCGGCCGTTCACGTACCGGATGACTCCCCGACGGTGGTTCGCCTCCTTCCCTCGGACCGCCTCCAGCACCTTTGGGAACTTCGTCTCGCTCGACACAAGACGCGCATGTACCACCCTCAGTTGCCTCTAGCACTTCGGGCTTACGGGACGATAACTCTACTTCGGTACTGCTTATCCCTACGCGCTCTGTTGCCTCTAGCACTTCGATCCTACGCAATCACAACAATACTTCGGTGAATGTTCTCCCTACGCGCTCTCGCACTTCGGTGCTATCCAATGACAGCGGTACTCAAGTACACGCTGTTTCTTCAAGTGTCGATCAGGTCGGTCTTCAGCCAAATGCTCACATCCCACCTTCGCCATCGCACTTATCGTCTGCAACCTCTGCACCCTCGCCTCGTCGGATTGCTGCTTCGTCGGAAACTAATCAGTCTGACGTGAGTGCTGTCTTGAGGTGTGGGAACAGACCCGTCGGACCTTCGGGGCCATTGAGTTCTCCTCGTTCGTCGAGTACCTCTCGTTCGCTCCCCCTGTCGTCTGCAGATAGGATCGGCAGTAGCCATGACCTTTGGACGATTGATGAAGAATTGCCCCAAGTGATTGCCTCAGGTGCTTCTTCGGATACGCCCAATTCGTCTGTGCTCGCTTCCGTTGAGGGTCCACCTTCGACTGTTGCACCGATAGCTAACTTGACTGGTTCCGACCGGCAAGTTATAGGGTCAAATTCGTCTGGCTTCGAATCGCTTCGTCCCCCTGGTTCCGATCGCCGGACATCCTCAGATTCCGCCACCCGACATTTCGACCGTGGGTCGTCTTTACAAGCCCCACCTTCTCCGACGCACGCTCGCACAACGGCACCCACTCCTAGGCTGCTGCGACCAACGTCGACAGTGTTGACACCACCGCTTCGGGAGGACGCCCCCGAAGCGACCTCCGAACAGCCGGCGGTCTCGCGTACCTTGTCACGGGGGAATAGCCAGGAACGCCATGCTCGGTTCAGTTCTTCAGCTCACCCGGCTTTGGTAGCCGTTCTCAGTGAAAGCGGCCTGTTGCCGAACACCTTAGGAGGCGTTTCTTCAGGTTTAGAATTGGGGTGCACCCAGCCCAGTGTTGCTGGCCCAATTAATGCGAACAATCCGAGTCAGGTCGATTCTTCGGCGGTTCCCGCTGTTACAAGGACCACCCCCATGGATATCCATACTGTCCATCATGACTCCGCATCTTCGGCTGCGACTCCAGCTTCGACTGACAGCACTCAGAGCGCTCCGGCCTCTGTTGCTTCCACCGTTTTCGACCCGTCTACCGAGTATTGTACTCCAGACATGGTTTTCTTTGGACGCCGCCCTCCCCCTTTTCCCAATGGACACCGTCGACCTTCACGGTCGATGGCGTTGTTTACTCGTGTACCGAACAATTTTTCGCTGCAGAAAAAGCCCGTCTTTTCGGAGATCGCTGTGCTTTGCAGAACGTCATGCAAGTGTCAGACCCTGCCTTACACAAAAAGTTTGGCCGTGAGGTCCGTGGTTTCGACCAATCTCTTTGGGAACAAGAACGCGGAAAACATTGTGCTCACCGGCTCTTGTGCAAAATTTAGTCAAAATTCCGAGTTACGAAATCATCTTCTCGGATCTGGTGACAAGATCCTTGCCGAAGCCAGTCCTTACGACCGTGTTTGGGGCATTGGCCTCCAGGCAGATCATCCTGACGCTCGATACACATCTAGCTGGCGCGGCCTCAACCGTTTAGGCACCACCCTACAGAACGTATGCAGTCTTTTACGACACCGCGCCCCGTCTCCCGAGTGCAGCTTTTGTGTGCTGCCCCCGACCGACCACGTTCCGACGTCGTCCCTTCATTCTGCGGTGTATGAAGTTAACCCTTCCACACACCAGCGCCTTATGACGGCTTCGGGCCCTCCATCGACGGACCGGTTCGCGTCATTTTCGCAATACGCCCCGAATGTTCCGTTGGATCACGATACCGCCGTTTGGGCCGTGTCTTCCGGGTACATCCCGTCGTCCTCCTCCTCGCTCCCAGAGCAAGGTCCGGATTTGGTTGGTGGTGTTGTCACCATCGATGACGACTCTTTCACCACCAGAAGCGGTTCGGCCTCTGTGCAGTTTGGGTGTGTCGCTCTTTTGGATACGGGTTCTCCGCAGGCTTTTACTAGTGCTTCTGCATGGGAATCCATGAAAGCTGCTTGGGCTGCTTCGACGTTGTCTGAGAAACACACCCACCTTGCTGTCGGGGTGGTTTTGGGAAATCTGCGCCGCTTCAAACTTCGACTATTGTCCGTTTGAGTGTTCACCTTCTCCGTAAGAACCATCCTACTTCCATTGCTGTTTGGGCATACGTTATTCCTGACGGCGTCATGCATCATGACGTGCTCCTCGGCAGAGATAGTTGGATGCGGTTTAATGATCGTTCTTGCCGCACTTGGCGTGCGAAACGTCCTGGTGACCGTATATTTGGTGAGCTTACTTTAGCCCAACACGACACTTGTGGTGCCACTGCATTTGCTCACGATCTGTCCGCAACGGATGGAATTCTTCGCTATGCAGGCAAACACTCCGTTCAACTTCACCCAGAGCATAGCCTTATTCAAGTCAATCTGGTACGCAGTGATGGCTCGCCTGCCCTTGCGGTAACTATTTGGTGGATATGCTTCCCCAATGTGCTACGTTTTCTTCCGAGGAATATTTTGTGCAAAATGGTTGCCAACGAATCCCTCTTGCAGGCACCTCGTCTCTCGAACCCGGCGACGTTCTGGGTACAGCTTCGGCTCCCCTTCTTCGCAGGCCTCTTAGCGCTGTCTCTCGCCACAGTTTGAGCGATGGTCTTCAAACTGCGGATTTAGAACCCACCGCTGCTTCAGATAGCTGGGGCCCTGGTCCTGTTTCTACAGGTGGCGTTGATTCGTCTGTCACGCACTCCATCTCTGACTCCTTTGTGTATAATCTGCACGAGCGACCCGCCCCGTCGCCAAGTGACCGAGGGGACTTTGGTTCCGCCAGTACTTCCTCTTCGTCGCCTTCGCCTGCTCTTCTCGAGCGGTTGACGCCAGAACAGCGTCAAAGTTTCTCCCAAGTCTGGGATAAGCTCCCCTGCCCGGGTTGGACCCCCGATGTCATGGCTCAGCTTGGTAACGTTTTTCGCGAATATCATGATGTGTTCTCGAGTTCTCCGACCGACTTTGGATCTTGTTCGCTTGTTCCTTATAAGCTTACAGTTCCTCCTGGTAGTGCACCCGTCACGTCTCGCCCCTACCGCGTTAATCCCCCGGTGGCGAAACAAGTTGACGCGATCCTTGACCAATACCTTGCGGCAGGTTTGATTCAACGTTCGACCTCGCGTTACTCGAGGCCTTTGGTAGTCATACCGAAGAAATCTGGTGGTGTTCGCATCACCGTCAATTATCGCAAGCTCAACAAGCTTTGCGCTTTGAGTCAGCTTCCGATTTCTCAAGTCGATGATACTTTGGACAAGTTGTTGAAAGGGCGAATTTATTCCCTTCTCGACACGAAATCTTCGTTTCACCAAATCACGGTGCACCGCGATACAACCCCTTTGACGGCATTCGTGACGTCTTCCGGGCTTTTCGAGTGGTTGAAGATGCCTCAAGGCAGTTCGACTGCCCCTGGGTGGTTTTGCAAGGTTGTCAACGAAGTCATCAGAACAGTCCGCGGTGCTGCATCGTACTTGGATGATTTGATCGTCTTTGATGACACCCCTGCTAATCATGTTGGTACCATGCGTGCCCTCTTTGAACGCTTGCGTACGCACAGCTTGAAACTCACGCCTCCGAAAGCTACTATTGGCGCTACTGAAGCAGACTTCCTCGGACACACCATCTCCCCTGACGGCGTTCGGCCTAACGGTGCCAAGGTTTCGGCCCTCACCAAAATGCCTATGCCCGAGGATGTCAAGCAACTACGTTCCCTTCTCGATGGTCTCAGCTACTACCGCAAGTTCCTCCCCAACATGGCTAAACGCATTCGATATCTGACTACTCTACTCAAGAAGCAGGAGAACTTTGTCTTCACCCTTTCCATGGAGCAAGCCGTTCGCGTTTTTTTAGCTGAGTTGGCCAATCCTCCTGTTTTAGTTTATCCAGATTGGGATGCCGTTTCAGACGCCTCGCGACCTTTTCATCCCTACTGTGATGCTAGTCGCGATGGGTTTGGTGAGACTCTAGAACAAGAACAGCCAGATGGTTTCGTTTGCTCAATTGTCTTCATCAGTCGGGCTACTTTGGACTCAGAACGTCACTGGACACCCCGCGATCTCGAGGCGGGTAGCATCGTGTGGTGTACGCGGTTACTTGTGGGGCACGAAATATCGCATTTTTACCGACCACAAATCTCTCGAGCATTTTGCTGAGGTGGGGGAGAACAATGCCCGCGTTCAGAGCTGGCTGGAATTTCTTACCGCCTACAATTACACTCTCAAGTATCGCAAGGGTTCCGCAAATGGCAACGCTGATTTCCTCTCACGCCTCCCTTGCACCCAGTCTCAACACCACAGACCGCTGAGGGCGGCAGTGCACACTACCACGATATCGAGAGTGGAGCCTAGCTAGGCCAGGTGTTGAATCAGCGATAACGAAAGCACGAGAGAAAGAATTAGAAGAAGAAATGGAGAAGAAAATGCAGGAAGCCGAAAGTGCAGCCGAAAGTGCAGCGGGGGAAGCGGCAGCCGCGGCAGCCAAGGTAGCGGATCTGCAGAGGAGAGTTGAGGAGACAGAGGAGAGGAGTTCAGCGGAGGACGCTACTAGAGATAGGGTGGATGATGCCGGATACACGGCTGGTAACTTAAGGATGGACGGTGCCGGCTATGCGCCTGGGTACATTAGGGATGGAGCCGCCGGGGGGGCAGCCACTTTTGGAGCCAGGGGAGCGGCTACTTTTTTGCAGGATGATCGAATGCAGCGTAGGGACCGGAAGCCACCGGTGTACGACGGCAACTTCCCGCTCTTCAAGAGGGTGTTCGAGGCCTTCCTCAGCTGCGAAGGTCTTGTACACACACTCGCGAAGCCGGCGAGTCCTGATCAACACATTTGGCTCATCCACACGTCAAGGAGCTAAAACGTCCGCTTTCACGGTGAGCAGCGCGTGCGTGATCATAAGTGTGCTGTTGAGTACCTGACGCGCGCCACGAAGGGGGCCAAACTTCAAGCTAAAATCTTGGAAGCTGGGACAGTGTTTGGGGCGTGGGAGGCTGCCCACGAGTTCTGCCTCCCGATGAGTGACCCCGAGAAGCAGGCCCTGAAGCTGTCTCTCACCAACATGAAGATGAAGCTCGGAGAGGAACCGAGGGATTACTTTCTTAGGTTTCACAAGGTGCTGTCTACAATTCGTGCCGTCAACGGCGATGAGGTCACAGACCGAGAGGTCCTTGCGATGCTGCGTAGGAATCTCTTGGCCGACTACGACCAGCTCAAGCCGCTTCTCATGCATAATCGCGCGCTCACACGCTCGAGTTTGGAGACTCTTGTGCGTAGCCACCACGTTGAGCAAGACCTCGGTAATGGTGTGTAGCGGACGGCAGCGCCGGCCGGCGACCCGCACGCTGTTCGCTTCGGCGGAAATTCACGGCCTAGCGGCGGCAGCGGCGGCGGTGGCGGCGGTCCGCAGCGGAGGACCGGAGGTTTTTCCCAAGGCAGGCAGCATGGTAGAGATGGGCAGCAGCAGCAGCAGCCAGGGTGGGGAGGAGGATCCCAGGGAGAGTACCAGAGGGGCTATCTGTTCGTGAGTCTGCGAACATTGCTGTTGGATACATGTGCTGGATGATTTTGTGTCACGCAGACTGGTAAGATAACCGTTTGATAGGGGCCACCGCGATGATTCACGGGGCCCCTCCTTGCTGTGGGAGCCGCTCTTTGAGCACTCCCTCTTTTGTCCGTGTGAAGGACGGCCGTCTACCTCCCGTGAAGTTAATACATCACCAAAACAGTTTCACCCGATAAATAAGTGGCGTAGGCCGCAAAC